TTGATGTTCCCATTCGCCGACGCCGCTGCTCACGCCTTTTTTAGCAAGGCTTCTGCTGATGGAAGCACTAGGATCATTCTAGGCTGTTACATAGATTTCTCAATAATGTAAATAACTAAAGTGTTCTCTGCATATAGCAGGAAAACTAGCATGAAATATTGTTTCAGGCCCTGGGTTCTATGTGACATTGCATTAGGAATTGGATTGTTTGGGTTTGCTTTGTGCTTTTGAGGTAGAGGAGGAAGTGGGAATCTTTTTCTCTTTCAGGAGTCAATGGAATAGTTCTCTAGCTAAGGAACAGACATACCTTTGTTTTAAAATATTTTATACTTATAAAAATCTAGAAATAAGGATTTAAAATACCTGCACAAGGATAGAGAGAAACTATGTGACTGATTCTGGCAAAAGACTTCTTGCAGTTGTGAGTTACTTAGAAAGGATCAGAATTTGTAATTAGGCTAATCTATTTAGTGATTCCTAATATTTTGTACTCACAGAGAACTAATTGAGTAAACAACTTGAACGCTAGTGATTTGTCCTTAGACAATCTGTCTTTGAATTTAAAGTCTTTATTGCTAAGACCTTGACTTGAAATTTTTCGTCACTACAACCTTGAATTTAATTTCAAGTCTTCAACATGACCTTTAAAGTCTTAAATACTATGCGCTTTATCATATTATTCACAGACGCATTTTTGAAATGTAGTGTGTAAAAGTATGTAGTGTGCTGTTTATTAACAAAAGATTGTTCACAACATCTTATGTAGTTTAAATTTGTAAATACTGCTTCTGTTTTGTTTCTCCTTTATACACTTGACTGTCTTTGTGATAAGTGACATGAATTTTATGTTAGGATTAAGTATGTTTTCCTGAAACTTGGATTTTTTTTTTTGTAATTATACAATTGAGAGTTAAGAATGAAATCCTTCGAGTGTTAAAAACTCATGTTTTAAAAGCAAATTTTGGTTCCAATCCTGTATTTTGTATAATTGCCTATTTTTCATAAACTAACATTAATCAGCCTTTGCTTTTAAGATAGAAGATGGGATGGATTCTTGCTGACCTGCTGCGAGTATAGCAGGCCCATTCAAAGTCATCTCCTGGCTTTGACTGTACCCTCTTGTGTGCTCTACCATCCATTTCCCCCAAGAACAGTTCTTTTGTAGAGAAAACTATAAGAAAAGGAAGTGGCATTCAAGGCTAAGCAGCTGCCATTAGGGACCATGAAGACAAACTTACCCTTTCATATTCACACATGTCAAAATGTTCTCAAATAGACTAAGTCATTTTTCCTGCTTACTTTTCATTTAATAGAGTATAACCAGGCTATCAAATCCTGTTATGGCTATCCTTTAAAAGAAAAATCAATTGTTTAGTTTGTTATAGCAAAATACCTTAGACTGAGTAATTTATAAACAGTAGAGATTTATTGCTCACAGTTCTGGAGAGTGGAAATTCTAAAATCAAGGCATCAGCAAATTTGGTGTCTGGTAAGTGCTCACTCTCTGCTTCAAAGATGGCACCATCCTGCCATGTCTTTATGTGGTGGAAGGGGCAAACAAGCTTCCTCAGGCTTCTTTTATAAGGGCACTAATCCCCTTCATGGGGGCAGAGCCTAAAGGCCCTACCTCTTAATAGCATTGCTTTGGGGATTCGATTTCAACAATGTGGGGGAACACAAACATTCAGACCACAGCATCAGCCCACTTAATTTTTTTCAAAACTGAACTTTCCCAATAAAGCAGTAATCAAAAACTAATAAATCTTGGCAATTAAAGCTGGCCCCAGAATCTCTTGACAGTTTTTCCATTTTTCTCTTTTCTGGATGACCTCTCTCTCCATTTCTGGAGTACTCATGATGCCCCAAATCTCCCTTCCAACTCTTGCTCCTCAGAAGGCTTTGATTTGCTTTATACTCTCATTAGAATTTATATTCTCTTAATATGTTGAATGAATGACCTCTAGTTCAAAGGTTTTTTTTTTAAACAGTCTTGCTGTATCTCCCAGACTGGAGTGCAGTGGCATGATCTCAGCTGACTCCAACCTCCACCTCCGGTTCAAACGATTCTCATGCCTCAGACTCCAGGGTAGCTGGGACCACAGGTGCATACCACCATGACCTGCTAATTTTTTGCATTTTTAGGACAGTCAGGGTTTCGCTATGTTGACCAGGCTGGTCTGGATCTCCTGTCCTCAAGTGATCTGCCTCCCTCAGCCTCCCAGAGTGCTGGAATTACAGGCGTGAGCCACCATGCCCAACCTATGGTGTAGTTTGTTGATAACAGGCTTCTGTATTTACTGCCATTAGCAAGAATGCTTAGTCACACATAACAGGAATTTAACAGTTGGCATGAACATTGCCCAAAGTAGACTCTACTTTTGGTGGAGAAAAGGCCATTTCTGGCTCTTGAAAACACAACTGATTTTTTTACTCATTTCTCTGAAGCTTGATGTATCACTAGAATAAGACAAATACCTAAATTAACAGTAGCTTAAATAGTTAGGGATTGGTTATTCTTGCAAATAGAGATAGCTAGTTCAGAGCTGACATGATGGCACAGTGGTGTTATCAGCAATCCAGATTGGTTCCATCTTTCTGTCCTGCCATCCTTAGCACAAGACTTTTCCTCTTGAAGGAGATCACTTCATGATTGCACACTGGCTGCTTCGGCCATACTGTATTCACAAAAGGATGATGAGAACAAGGTAAAATGAAATGGGAAATAAAAAGTGAGATGTGAGGCTGGAGAGGTAAACTAGCCAGGTCTCTAGCAGCCATGTGGAGGATAAGTAGGGAAGGGGCAGGGGATGCAGGAATTAACATGGGCAACATGGGGGCCTGGTAGGAAGGAATTGTAATGGTTCAAGCAAAGCAAACTACAGATCTGAATTAGCACAGTAGCAATGTGAAGAGGGGATGAAACTGAGGTATCAAAATGGTAAAGTAGGCAGGAATGTGAGAGAGTGGAAGAGGTCAACATTGATTCCTAGGTTTCTGTCTTCATTTATGAAAAAAAGTGCAGGAAAAGCAGTCAATCTTTAAAGATGACTCAGATTTGTGCACATTAAGTTCAAGATGTCTGTGGAACATATAAGTGGAGACATCCAGGAGTCAGCTGGATATGAATATAAAAAAGGGGGAGTGGGCAGGGATGGAGATTGAGATTTTGAATCATCTGCAAACATATACATCCAAAGTAAAATAGATACACTATAGTCTCCCAGGGAGCACACATACCATGGTTCTCAGTCTAATCCTGGGACACCAAATTATTAGGGGATAAAGGAAAAGAATCTCAAGACCGAATGGTCAAGAAACTGGGAGCCAAACCAGGAGAGAGTGGCATCTTAGAAGCCAAGTGTGACAAGGAAGGAATAGCTAATAGGATGCATGTAAGGTAATGCACACAAAAGAACTTTGGAAACCATCTTAGGAAAAATACAGTATTGGCTGTTTTAAGGAGGCACTCTTTAAATATCAAAACAAGTCCTCCTAATATAAGAAACTCCCCCTTGTATTGAGGAATACCAGGATTTGAGCACCACTAGATGAAACTCATTCCCTGACAGCCCAAAGCCATCAGAATTAAGGTAGAAGGCACATGTCAACACAGTTACCATATGACTTTCTCTGCAAGAGATTCAGGAATCCATGATTCCCCCTGCTTACATTTTATCTCATGCCTTCTTCCCTGACCAGTTCAACACAAGCAGCCCTGAGATATAGTATCTGCTTATCCTGACCCTCAAAATGTGTCTCATGCTTTCCATCCGTCCTCTCAGAGGAAGACTTGTACTTTTGGCCTGTAGCCCCACCCTTCCTGCTGTTGGGTTCTTAGAGCCAGTTCTGCAGTGAGTGGGATACTTTCCAAATATAATAGCAAATAGAAACTTCTAATTACATCTGCACATAAAACTAATGTTCCAAATGGTGGTTCTGGTTCTAGCGAGTGCATATAATTTTGTGTTACCTCAGTATCCATTTTCAAATATGTTTATCTTTTAATAACAGAAGCAGGGCTCAATCACCATTGACAGTTTCCAATACCATACCCCACGCAAATGGCTGGTGGTGAGAAATAAACATGTGACATGGTAATAGGGCACTACTGCAGGTTCAAACTCCGGTTCAAGTTCCTCCCGCCTCCGCCTTTTCACCTGCTTGCTTTAAATCACCAGTTAGAGCTCTCCAGAGGAACTTATCTGAATAAAGTTGCTGGCCCAGCTGTCTGTCCCTCCCTCCCCTACTCCACACTCCCTCTCCTCGCCCTGTGCTCCCTGACCTCCGTGTGAGTGTGTGTGTGTGTGTGTGTGTGTGTGTCCCCTAGGCATGCTGTGTATCCCTCAAGGTCTGTACGTACTAAAAACTCTTACAACTTTCACACAACTGTGTCATTGAAACCATTCCTGCAATCCAATCCCTGAAGGCAAGTCCACCCTGAAGGGATGGATTCATGCAGGTGGATCCCCTGCTCTTACTCTTTTGTCCCGCGTCTCTGGTGGCTGCTGGAGCACAGTAGCTACTAGCTTAAGTTGATAGAGACACTTAAAGAAGTTCTTTCAAAACACTAGTCCCTGAGCAGCCCAGTAATCTTTTAAACGCATAACAGAGTTCTGTTTGGGTTTCAGACAAAGTCACAAGGCACAAATGCGGCTGTGGCTGATGGCTATTTGGAGGCTGCCCAAGCCTGACAGCAGGAAGCAGCGTCGGACTGCAGTAGGGCCGCAGAGCGTGACAGCCAGGCCTCGGGGCCCTCAGGGCACCAGCAAGGCCTGGGCGCAAAAATGTTTTGGAAAACATTTTAATATACTTTTAAAAAACAGAAAAGGGAAAATCAGAAGTCTTTGGAAGTTTCCTACTGGTTTTATGTCCCATAGCAAATCCGGGGAGAACGCCCCAAACTTTCAGTTCCCTGGGGTTCTGAAGGTGCTCCTTGAGTCCTGGCCACCGGACTTCTCAGAACCTGGGCCGGGAGGCTGAGGTCAGCGCGGCGGCGGGGGTGGGGGGTGTGAGGGTCTCTGCCGAGGTGTGGCCTCGCGGTGCAGGAGCCGGGAGCCTGGCTGCGCCCTGGATCTGGCAGGCATCTGGCAGGCGGGGCCAGGGCGGGGCAAGGGGCGGAGCCTTGAGGACCCGAGCGAGCGGGTGCGGGCTGAGCTCTGAGGCTGCACTAGGCTGGAAGTGGATCCCAAGCGCCGCAAGGTAAGAAGGCCCGAGAGCCTGCTGGGGTTGGGGTGGGCCGAGCCGAGGCGGTGGCGGCGGCCTTGTGGGCCCGGGGTAGGGTCTGCAGGGGCTCCCCGCGCATTCCACGCCCCCTCCCCGCCGGGCTAGTTTCCCGAGGCCTGACGCTTTCGCCCTTCCCCGCGGCCCGGCGTCCTCGCCGAACGCCACTTCATCTACAGGGTGGGAGAAACGGGGAGCTGGCCTCCTCCCAGCAGCAGCCCCGTCCCACCAACCCTCGGGGGCAGCCTCGTACCCGGACCCCCGCCACCGCTTTCTTCTCAAGGGAAGCTGTAGCAGTTTAGAAAAGAGAGAATTCGCCAGTGGCGGGGAAAGCCAGCCGTCTGTGGTCCCCGGCTGTTCCTCTCTCCCCTCGCCCTCTAAATGTGGAATTTTGAAAAGCAGATTTTGGGCGAAAAGGACATTTTAAGTACAACGTGTTGTTTTGTTCTCTTGGGTCGGCTCGGGCCGCGCCTTTCTTAGAGTCTGACTGCTGACTTTTAAAAAACAACATTAGGCAATGTGCCTTTTAAGGCCGTTTAGTGCTAGCCAGGCTCTCCACTGGTCATTCGGGAAGTATTTAACGGCACTTTATCTTCAGCCGGGCACAGCGGCTCACGCCTGTAATCCCAGCACTTTGGGAGGCCGAGGTGGGCGGATCACCAGGTCAGGAGATCGAGATGGTGAAACCCCGTCTCTACTGAAAATACAAAAATTAGCCACGCAAGGTTGCACACGCCTGTAATCCCAGTTACTCAGGAGGCTGAGGCAGGAGAATCGCTTGGACCCGGGAGGCGGAGGTTGCAGTGAGCCGAGATCACGCCACCGCACTCCAGCCTGGCGACAGAGCAAGACTCCGTCTAAAACAAAAAAAAACAGTAGGCTTCACGTCACAGGGTGGTTGAGATGACTGATGGAAAGCGCTTGGCACAAACGCGGTGGCTGTTAATATTTTAGGTACCCTGCCGTCCCTGAACAGTTGTTCAAGTTCCCCACTCCTGGCAGTTTTCTCTCAGTTCCCTGAAGAAGGCACAGAGCTCAGAGTGTTGAGGGAGGTGGCAACGTTTGCCAAAATGTGCCTATTTACATGGCAGTTTATGAAGGAGAGGCAGAAAGGGAGGCTGCCTCATCTACAAGTCAAACAGTCCTAAAACTTGTGACCTCTAATTTTCACAGTGGAAACTAGAAACTATTTGCTAAACTTAGTTGTAAGTGGGAGCTGAACAATGAGAACACATGGGCACAGGGAGAGGAACAACACACACTGGGGCCTGTCAGTGGGTGGGGTGGGTGGGGGTAGAGCATTAGGAAAGATAGCTAATGCATGCTGGGCTTATTACCTAGGTGATGGGTTGATAGGTGCAGCAAACCACCATGGCACACGTTTACCTATGAAACAAACCTGCATATCCTGCATGTGTACCCAGGGACCTAAAAATTAATTTATATCTATCTATATATATATAAATTACACACACAGTTCTTTTTTTTTTTTTTTTTTGAGACAGCCTCACTCTGTTGCCCAAGCTGGAGTGCAACGGCACAATCTTGGCTCACTGCAACCTCCATCTCTTGGGTGCAAGTGATTCAAGTGTCTCAGCCTCCCATGTAGCTGGAATTACAGGTGGCTAATTTTTTTTTGTCCTTTGAAGTAGAGACAGCATTTTGCCATGTTGGCTGGGCTGATCTGGAACTCCTGGCCTCAAGTGATCCACCTGCCCCAGCCTCCCAAACTGCTAGGATTACAGGCATGAGCCACCATTCCCGGCCTTATAGTAATTTTCTACTGCTGCTGAAACCACCACAAATTTAGCTGTTTCAAATGCCACACATTTATTAATCTTTCCGTTCTGTAAATCAGAAGTCTGACACGGGTCTTACAGGGCTATAATCAAGGTGGCAGGGCTGCGTGCCACTCTAGAGGCTCTAGGGGAGACTCTGTTTCTGTGCTCATTCAGGATCCTGATAGAATATAGTCCTTGTGACTGGAGGACTGAGGTTTTGTTTCTTTGCTGGGTGTCAGTTAAGGACCATTCTTAGCTACTAGAGGCCACCTGTGTGCCTTGGCTTAGGGAACCCTTCGTGTCTTCATCTCATTTTTCACATTTCTTTCCTCTTTTTCTGTTGTCAGTCATGTGTCTTTGACAGACTCTGCTACCTTCTTCTTCCTCTTTTAATGACCCTTGTCATTACATTGGGCCCATTGAATAATCCAAAATAATCTCCTTATTCTCATCTACAGAGTCACTTGCCGTGTAAGGTTGCCTGTTTTCATAGGTTCCTGGAATTAGGATATAAACATTTTTGTGGAAGAGAGGCATTATTCTGCCTACCACATAAGTTAGTTGCATAAATTAGTTCTCTTCCTCAGCCTTGTTTCCTCTCCCTGTAATTGGAGGCAAAGTTAAATTTACCTTATAGTATTATTGTGAGGATTAACTTCAGTTACTGTGTCAAGAGTATCTATCTTAGCAACTGGCCCTTGATATTTGCTCACCAAATGGAAGTTAACACAGCAACAAGGCGTATTAGTCCATTCTCGCACTACTATAAAGAAGTACCTGAGACTGGGTAATTTATAAAGAAAAGAGGTTTAATTGGCTCACAGTTCTTTGGGCTGTGCAGACTTCTGCCTCTGGGAAGGCCTTAGGAAACTTAAAACAATTATGGTGGAAGGAGAAGGGGAAGCAAGTACTTCTTACTTGATGGGAGCAGGAGGAAGAGAGCAATGGGGAAAGTGCTCCACACTTTGAAACAACCAGATTCCCTGAGAACTCTGTCACAAGACAGCAAGAAGGGGATGATGCCAAACCATTAGAAACCACCCCATGATCCAATCACCCCCCACCAGGTCCCTCCTCCTACACTGGGGATTAAAATTCAACATGAGATTTTGGCGGTATTTTAGTCCATTTTCATCCTGCTAATAAAGACATACCCAAGACTGGGTAATTTATAAAGAAAAAGAAGTTTACAAACACCACATGTTCTCACTCATAAATGGGTGTGAACAATGAGAACACATGGACGCAGGGAGGGGAACATCACACACTGGGGTCTGTTGGAGAAAAAGAGGTTTAACAGACTCACAGTTCCACATGGCTAGGGAGGCCTCACAATCATGGCAGAAGGCGAAAGGCATGTCTTACGTGGCAGCAGACAAGTGAGAAATATGAAAGCCAAGTGAAAGGGGAAACCCCTTATAAAACCATCAGATCTTGTGCAATTTATTCACTACCACTAGAACAATATGGGGGAAACCACCCCAATGATATCTCGCACCAGATCCCTCCCACAACGTGTGGGAATTACAATTCAAAATGAGACGGGTGGAGACACAGCCAAACTATATCACAAGCTCTTGCCTAATGGCTTGCATTCAATGTCATGATCATATGGGGCCTTAAAAGTAGAAACAGCTACTAAATATTTAATCAGAACAGCTTCTTTTACAGCCCTGTCGGAAGAAACATTTCCAACCCAATCTAAAGTGACCTGGCCGTTATGCCAGGTCACTCTCTAACCCAGTGGTTCCTGGGGTGATCCCTGAACCAGCAGATATGCAGCACCTGGGTGCTGGCTCAAAATGCACATTCTTGAGCCTTACACTAGCCCCACTAAATTAAAACCTCTAGGGCGGAAGTCCAATTATCTGCTTAAGAACCCTCCAGGTGATTCTGATGCTCCCTGAAGTTTGAGAACCTTTGTTCTGATCCTCTCTTACTTTCTTCCTAATCTTTAGCACTAATTGGTGTAGGAATTGAGACCTTCTTCACAGTGGTAAGTATACTCACCAGTGAATTCCTTTAAATATTATTAGATAATTATTTGATGTGTTAAATACTTTATGTTCAGATTTCTTTGGATTGCACATATATATGTATTTGTGTGTGTATGTATATTATATATGTATATCATGTTTTGATATATACATATGTAACATATATATGCTTATATGCAGTTGACCCTAAAACAATGCAGGGTTAGAGACACTGCACAGTATCTAGCTTGTGGCAGGGCAGCTAAGGGGATGGGGTGATGGCAAACAGTTGCTCTTTCAGACATCCAAAATGCCTCTCTAGTTGATCCTAATTGTCTTTGGAAATTACACAGAATAACCTCTCTCTCTTCCTCAGTGCCCCTTCCTATATTTGAAGATAGTAACTGTCTCTGACTGTACCTTTTCAGACAGAACAGCCCTGGTTCCTTCAGCCATTTCTCCTGGCATCTACAGCTGTTTATTTTGCTATACTGATAAATTGGAAGAAATTTGAAAATGTGGCATCTAGACTAAAAATATTATTTCCAGGTCAGGTCTGAGGCCAAGATTGTGTCTGCATTTGTCTACTTGCTTGTTTTTTAAACTGCCACATGACATTTTTGTCCATATTGAGTTTTAAAACCCTCGTCTTATTCTTGTATTTTATCATCATCTAAACTTTATAAATTAGGAGCTGAAGTAAAAGAAACTGACTGCTTCCAAGATATGTAAATTGGGAGCAAAGTGGGCTTAAAATATAGGTCTGTCTTTCAGGATTAATAGGAAAATCACGAAGGCTTCATTTTTCACAAACATAAGTGTGTGTGACAAAATAATGGTTTTCAGACAGATGTAGAAAATATATACATGAAACATTTTTTTACCTCAAAGCAGCCAGTTTTGAGAAGCAGTATATATTTTTTTATACCTAACTAGGTTGGATACTCCAAACAAAAGTTAAGAAACTATAAATGAAATAGTTACATTAAAATCTTCTAGGCCAGGCAGGATGGCTTATTCCTGTAATCCCAGAACTTCGGGAGGCTGAGGTGGGTGGATCACCCAAGGTCAAGAGTTCGAGACTAGCCTGGCCAACATGGCGAAACCCCATCTCTACTAAAAACAAAAATCAGCCAGGCATGATGGCACACGCCTATAGTTCCAGCTACTGGAGAGGCTGAGGCAAGAAAATTGCTTGAACCCAGGAGACAGAGGTTGCAGTGAGCCAGGATCATGCCACTGCACCCACAGCCTGGGTGACAGAGTGAGACTCCACCTCAAAAAAACAAAAAAGAAATCTTCTATCATGTTGAGATTTTTCTATAAAAATATTCATTAAGAAAAAAATGGATTTAAGCATAAACTGCTCATAATTCTTCTACTCTGTTAACCCACATGATCTAAATTCAGAAAAGATTGATGTATTCCAAACATGTGTGTGTGGATGGCTGGATGCATATATGTTTTAAAGAAAATAAAATTATAGCTATATTTAAACCAGCTTTTTTCTTAATTCATCGTGAACAGCCTTCCACGCCCATTACTTTTCCTGGCTCTGCAGTTCCCCACCATGGAAGTGTACCAAAATATATTCAATTTTCTTTTCACTGGATGTGTGTGTCACTAAATTTTTGCTATTGTAAACAATGTTTGTGCCGGGCGCGGTGGCTCAAGCCTGTAATCCCAGCACTTTGTGAGGCCAAGGTGGGTGGATCACGAGGTCAAGAGATCGAGACCATCCTGGTCAACATGGTGAAACCCCGTCTCTACTAAAAATACAAAAAATTAGCTGGGCATGGTGGCGCGTGCCTATAATCCCAGCTACTCAGGAGGCTGAGGCAGGAGAATTGCCTGAACCCAGGAGGCGGAGGTTTCGGTGAGCCGAGATCACACCATTGAACTCCAGCCTGGGTAACAAGAGTGAAACTCCGTCTCAAAAAAAAAAAAAAAAATGTTTGTATAATATTGACTGTTTCTTATTCCTGTGATGAAAGGCCTACTTGGAGCTCCCATTATAGAAATGACTTCAAAGTCAATTTACACTCCACCCAGGACAACCTGCCCTTCCTTCCTAAGGTTGGGAAAGACTTGTCCCTACATACCTTCTTTGAGGGATTTTTCAGTTGTGCATTCTTTAGAGGAACTAAAAATCATTCAGAATAGCAATATTATTAGAACACTAGCAATATTATTAGAACAGTCCTTAGGGACAAACCCACTGTTAGGAGTCCTGAGATGTTTGGAGAGGAGTTGAGTGGTGATGCTGAGTGTATCTTGCATGTAAGTTCTTGGTTTGGATGGAATCACAGCACTTTGGGTTCATTTACCGGCATGAGACACTGCGCCCCGCTGAACTGACGTACTCTTTTTTTTTTTTTTTTTTTTTTGAGACGGAGTTTCGCTCTTGTTACCCAGGCTGGAGTGCAATGGCGCGATCTCGGCTCACTGCAACCTCCGCCTCCTGGGTTCAGGCAATTCTCCTGCCTCAGCCTCCTGAGTAGCTGGGATTACAGGCATGCGCCACCATGCCCAGCTAATTTTTTGTATTTTTAGTAGAGATGGGGTTTCACCATGTTGACCACGATGGTCTCGATCTCTCGTGATCCACCCGCCTTGGCCTCCCAAAGTGCTGGGATTACAGGCTTGAGCCACCGCGCCCGGCCCTGACATACTCTTAACTAGATCACGTGGTCTGCAGTGTTGAATGGAGTACAGGCGGCGGCAGGGAGACTAGGAGACTGTTGCACTGCTATAACATGAGGTGTTGGCTTGAACCAAAGTGTTGTGAAACTGGCCAGATTGTAAACATTTTAAAGGTAAAGTCCACAAGATCTGCAGAGGAATGGACAATTGGGTGTTAGAGAATGGCATTAAAGATCTTTTATTTTTTTGAGAGAGTCTTGCTCTGTCATCCAGGTTGTAGTACAGTAGCACGATCTCAGCTCACTGCAACTTCTGCCTCCCGGGTTTAAGCGATTCTCTTGCCTCAGCCTCCCAAATAGCTGAGATTACAGGTGTCCACCACCATGCCCAGCTGATTTTTGAATTTTTAGTAGAGATGGGGTTTCACCATATTGGCCAGGATAGTCTCGATCTCCTGACCTTGTGATCTCCTGACCTCCCAAAGTGCTGGGATTAGAGGCATGAGCCACCATGCCCAGCTAAAGGTCTTTTATCTGCACTTAATTTATAGGCACCTTCCTTTTTTTTTTTTTTTTTTACTTAAAAAGGAGGGTGTTTTAGACTAGGGAGTAGTTTTACCAAAAGACAGATGATCTATGACTACTAGAAAAGGAGCACTGTCATGTGTGGATTTTCCTGATGTTTCTGATGACACTTGGTTTATTTATTATAGAATATTTGGGGAAAGGATGGCAAAAATAAAGGATCGGGAAGAAAAAGAAAAAGCCATAAATGATCTTGCTTAGTGTTAATTACCATCTGCATTTTAGGGCATTTATAAAATAGCATTAAAACCATCAACTATTTTTTTTTTCGGTCTCCCGCCCTCCTCTGCCCCCCATACACATATACACACTCCATATGAACGTTTTGCTCTTGGAAATTCATATCTCCCCAGTGGTTCATAAAGGCCTGGTCTTGTTTGGATTGAGCAGCCTGACCTTGACAACTGCACGTAGCTACTTCCTTCCTCTGCTATCTTGGTTTCCCCTGCAGCGTGTTATGGGATCAACCATAGCAGCAAGCAGCCAGTTTTGTGGAACTGAGGCTAAGGTTTGACACTCCCCACCCATCCAGAAAACAGAGGGCTGCCTTAGGTTTGATGCCTGAGGTCTCCCCTGCTCATTCAATGCAGGGTGTCTGTCTGGCTTCCACACCTCATGCCCTCCTCTGTCTGACTTCCCACCCTTCACCCCACAGCAGTCCCTCCCCATGCAGTTTCTTCCTCAGGTAACCTAATGACTTCTCAGTAACACTGACAGTGGCCACAGCTTTTTGAGTGCCATCTTTGGCCAGGCATTGTGCTTTGTGGTACACATAACTGTCCCCATGCTTACTAGTCAAAGCATGGAGATCAGAGGTTAACATACAGCAAAGAGGTGGCAGGGCCAGAACTATCTGGCCTTGTTCGGAGGCCTCCAGACTGGACTGGAATGCCTGTGCCCTGAACACTGTCATTGTGTCCTTCCTGCTTTCTTAGCAGGCCAGTTCTAAGGTACTCATCAAAGAACAGCTCCCTGTCAGGGACCCTGTGTGTTGTGGAAGTGTGATTTATGTCAAAGACCATTCCAAGGGAAGCATCCTGAGCCTGCAGCTCCTGCCATCCGGACACCTTTCCGGTGCCTAACCCAAGTCAGGAGGTTCCTTCCCTCCTCCTTCCAAATGACGTCATAACTACGTTGGGTTTTTGTTAGTTTAGAGACAGGGTCTTGCTCTGTCACCCAGGCTGGAGTGCAGTGGCACAGTCACAGCTCACTGCAGCCTTGACCTCCTGGGCTCAAGTGATCCTCCCACCTCGGCCTCGCAAGTAGCTGGGGTTACAGGTATATGCCACCACACCAGCCTAATTTTTTTTAAATGTTTTTATTTTTGTAGAGACAGGGTCTGGCTATAATACCAAGGCTCCGACCGTGCTATGCTTAACTTTTAGGAAGTGTCTGGAGTTCTCTGTTGGGGGACCTCAGAGCAATACCTTCCTCCCCCTGCTCACTCACAGCAGTTCCTCGTGGACTGGAGCCCTGTTTAACTTGAGTCTGTAACTCACCCTTCCTACTCAGAAACCCCTGACAATGGGGGACTGAGAAGGTGGCTGGCATGTGCTGGAGCCCAGGCCCCAGGGAAGGTCCACATGGGGGATGGTGTCCCATAGCAGGCTGTAGGTTTCAGAGCCCAGGGCATGGTGGGGAGTCATCAATGTGTAAGGAAAGGCCAGGCCACAATTGTCTTTCTTCTGGTTTCTCACATATCATAAAGCCACCTCTTTCTTACCTCCACCATGTCCATCCCCAGGGTTGACTCACTGAGCATTTTCATCTTCAGACATTGTCATACCCTGCCCTTTTCCTGGAACTTCTCATTCCTCCGCTGGCCTGTACCAGCAAATTCTGTCAAGCTGTGACAAGTGATGATTTCATAGCCCCAGGGAACTCTGCATTTCTAACTTAGAGGAGGGTAGGTGACTCACCCTTCCAAGAATCCCATCTGTCTGTCTTGGCCTGTGGGGCTCTGGAGAATAGAATATGGAGTATCCTGATTTATAGGCGCTGCCACCTCATTTCAGGATGGGTTCAGGGATGTAGGGTTGGAGGGAGATTTCTTAGTTCTGCTGTGGATGCTTTGTATCTAGGTAAGTTCAAACCCTCCCTGTGCCTTGGCTTCTTTACTAGGTAAAGTAGGGTTGAAGGCATTTCAGCTTTCCCTTCTTCTCACCTGATGCTATCACTACACATCTAGGCATTTGTGTAATGGAAACTTACAAAGTTGCCCAATACCTCTCTTCATATCCCCAAAGAGAGCAAGGAAATGAACCCATTATACTTCTTAGAGTCGGGAGAGAGAGCTTCTGGGTATGCTAAGCCATTGCTCTCTGTTCTGCTGCTAAATGCATGCTGGTGCCTTCCAGAGTCACCCCTTTGGTCCGATTCACTTAGTGCTGTGGCTCAGAGAAGTGGCCTCCGTTTCAGCCAGCAGCTTGGGGTGGGGACAGTAGAGTGGGAACTGCAGTGGCTGTATGAGTCAGTTTGTGCGTGTTCTCACTTGACTCACTGACCCTGATCTGGAGGACAGTGTTACTCCCATGGCATGGTATGCACACTGGGGCTTATAGGGACTGAGCCTACTCAAGGGTATGTGGTGCTGTGGGTTAGAGCTGAGGTGTGGCCCAAAGATTCCTGACTCTGAGCCCAGTGTGCCTTGACTCCTGCTTAATACTCCTCTCAGAAGCCTCCTTGGCCTTCCAGCCCCTGGTTTTGGAGACAACCAGCAGTCATTTGTTGGTTCCTGACAGTCCTTCCTATCCCTTCCTTCCAGGTTCTGTGGACAATCACAATGGGAATCCAAGGAGGGTCTGTCCTGTTTGGGCTGCTGCTCATCCTGGCTGTCTTCTGCCATTCAGGTGAGTGCTCCAGTCTCAGGACAGAGATCTAGGCTGCCTTGGCCATGAAGTCCCTTCTTAGGCCTCAGTTTCAGCTCCAGCTCCTCCTCCAGGCCTGGCTTTGGTTCTTTTGACTTCCAGTGTTACAGATCTGGGGTTGTATGACAGCTCCTTCCTTGTCCTCAGTGGGGCATCTTCCTGAGTTACAGCCCATCCTGAGTTACAAGGTGGCTTTTGGCAGGGGTACAAGTGGCTTCAACACTCAGTGGCTGAAGTTTCACCCCGTCACCATAAGCTACTTGGGGACACCAGTGGATGCCATTCTTAGAGTGCTGTGCAAGTCCCTTTGGGGCACCACTCTGCTTAGAGCCATCTGAGCTTAGTCCTTCTGCTCTTGGGCTCCTCCCATGTTTTAACGATGATGGTGGTCGTAGTGACAGCAGCAGCAGCTAGCTAACCCTGACAGCATTTATGTGCCAGTCACTCTTCTGAGCATTTTACATGTATTTGCTTATTTAGTCCTCATGCCAACCAGATAGAGTAGGTATTTTTTTTTTTTGAGGCGGAGTTTCGCTCTTGTTACCCAGGCTGGAGTGCAATGGCGCGATCTCGGCTCACCGCAACCTCCGCCTCCTGGGTTCAGGCAATTCTCCTGGCTCAGCCTCCTGAGTAGCTGGGATTATAGGCACACGCCACTGTGCCCAGCTAATTTTTTGTATTTTTAGTAGAGACGGGGTTTCACCATGACCAGGATGGTCTCAATCTCTTGACCTCGTGATCCACCCACCTCGGCCTCACAAAGTGCTGGGACTATAGGCGTGAGCCACCGCGCCCGGCCCAGTAGGTATTATTTTTATCCTTGTTTTACAAGCAATAAGATTAAGACCCCCAGAATGAATAACTTGTCAGATAACACAAGTGGTATGCTGGAATGTGAACACACGGTCTGGCAACAGTTCCTGCTCCAGGCTACCTGTCACTGGGCCATCCCTTCCCCTCACCCACCCATCCCCTGGTTTCTGGGGGGAAATTGTGTGCTTCTGAGTCAACTTCTGTGATAGTGGAAGCACATGGTAAGGATCAAATGCAGTTGTCTGCCTATGTCATGTTGGTATAATGTCTTGGCCCCTGGTGGGTTTTCTTTTTTTTAAGTATGGTTAGTAGGGGGAGCAGAAAAGGAAGTAGCAATACAATGCACAGTTTTTAAAAAGATCTCCACACCATTGTAGCATGTCTTATAATATTAGTAGCAACCATATATTGACTGCTTATTGTTTACTGGGGACTGGGCCAGAGCCTGTCTTTTAAATTTGTCCAACCATCCCAGGAGGTCAGAGCTGTTACGCCCATATTACTGCAGAAGAAATGAAGGCAAAGTAGTAACTTGCCCCAGGACACACTTTAACATGCTCTCCCTTTCTGAGCAGAAAGAGAAGTCACCACACCCCTCCTACTCCACCTCCCCTAATTCTAGCCAGGGTGCACTGTAATGCAGTTCACCTGTGTTACAACACTGCCTTTTTTCTATAATTATTTTTCGTACATTTTTCTTTGTTCCTTCTTTTTTCTGTATCTGCTGCTTAAATCGGAATATTTTCTAAAATTAAAATAACCCAGTGACATCCTACATCCAGCAGTCTGCATTTGTTTATGGAGCAAGCTTGGGACCATCAGCTTCTCCATGACAGGTCTTGGGGTGCTCTTCAGCCCTTCCTCAGAGAATTGAGATGTGATACTCACATGCCCACAGATGACAGGCCTTCTTTGCTGCTGCCCAAAACCCTGCAGGGAACCTTCCTCTGAATTCTGCCTCTTGTAGCCGAGGGGAAATCTCATCTACCCTGGCTTACTGGCTAAAATATCAAACAGTTGTCCACTGACCTACTGCTTGCTTTTTTTTTCTTTTTTTTTTTTTTGAGACAAGAGTCTCACTCTGTTGCCCAGGCTGGAGCGTACAGTGGCGTGATCTTGGCTCACTGCAACCTCTGTCTCCCAGGTTCCAGAGCTCAAGCCTAGGCTGTCAGTTCTAAAACCCAAGCTTGGTTTAACCACGATGTTCTTCTAGTTGACCTGCATGGGAAGAGAAGGAAACTCTAGATTATGGTGAAACTGAGGTCAAAAACAAGCAATAGGGCTGGGTACCATGACTCATGCCTGTAATCCCAAAACTTTGGGAGGCTGAGGTGGGTGAATCATTGGAGGTCAGGAATTCCAGAACAGCCTGGGCAAGATGGTGAAACCCAGCCTTTACTAAAAATACAAAAATGAGCCAGGCATGGTAGCATGTGCTTGTAATCCCAGCTACTCAGAAGACTGAGGCAGGAGCATCACTGGAACCCGGGAGACAGAGGTTGCAGAATAGAATTCGTTTTAGGGGGATAACCATTTGCTTATTTGGGGTTCAAAATTAGTGTTCTCTGTCATCAAATCAATTGCAGATGTTCATCTATTAATACTGATCTGTGATGACATTTTACATATTTCATCTCTGAACATGAATTTTCAAGCAGATAGGTATTGTCAGATACTGATCATCAACCCACGAGCATGTGATTTAATTGGGCATATTCATTGCTTGGAAGACACTTACAGAATTCTGTTTGTTTTTCTTGATACTTTCCTCTTAACACATCATTACATTGCAGATTAATCTCCTTACAGTTGCAGGTGAGGAGGAAGCTTCTCAATTGCACAGTTAGATGGATTTTCAAATGTGGATATTTCCTATGTGCTTGCATCAGAGTCCAAAAAATGTTGCTGGAACTTTAGTTTGAGTTTGGAAAGATATAACCGATATACATTTGTGCGGGAATGGAAGCATACCACAAGCTGCTGACTTTGGGCCATTAATGGAGATGGTGGGCTGCCAAGGGACAAGTCAGTGTTGCTTTAAGAGATCCCGACTTTCTTCCTGATTCTAGGTCATAGCCTGCAGTGCTACAGCTGTCCTTACTCAACCGCTCGGTGCACTACGACCACCAACTGTACATCTAATCTTGATTCATGTCTCATTGCCAAAGCCGGTAAGAGCCTCCCCTGTCTGTCTCCTAAATGTAATGGGGTGATAAGAGCCTGGGAAAAAATTGTGCCGCTGTAACTCTCATTAGACTTGCATCAAGTAATAGCTTCCATTTATTAGCATCAGGTGTGTATCGGGCACTAAGCACTTACTCCATGCATTTTAAACTTCATGTTTCACACTGCTCAGGGTGATCTTTTATTCCCATTTGATAAATGTGGAAACAAGCTCAGATTAGGCAACAAATTATGGTCAAGTAACCACCTCAGGACTTGAACATGGAAGTCCATCTGATTCCAAAGCTCGTGTTCTTTAACAGTGGCCCTGTGCTGCCTCCCAAACCTTGGAGAAACTACTGTGTACCCAGCAGAGGGCTAGGATGCAAAGATAAAGAAAGTATACTTAGCATTACAATTATGACAAAGGCCTGTTTGGCTGTCCCAAATGACTTCTTATATGCCTCTGTCTCATTCCATGGGGTATCTGGTATAGGCAGAGTCCTGAGGAGACTCAACCTGAGCTGAAAGGGCTAGTAGGAGGTAAGAGGGCTAAGAGGGGAAAGGTGTTCTGCGAGGGGCAGCAGATGCCAGGGCTCTGTGGCCTCAGAGCGAGGTGCTCATGAATGTGGGGGTGGGGAGTGCTAACATGCACAACAAGTCCTGTCCAATCTGCATTTTCCAAATTGGTGGAAATATTGATGTAATATTCACCTCCATCAACCCTGTTAAAATAGAATTTAGGAAGTGGTAGACAGAGGAAAGAAACCAGCAAAGATATGCCCTCTGTTCTTGCTGGGTATGGTTCTGGATAGAATCAATGTGTGCAAACGATGCCAGCAAGGAATAGCAGTTTGAGAGTGTTCTGTGTCCAAGGTAAAACCCGCAGACTTACATTTCTAAGAGATGAATAATAAAAACACTCCTTAAGGTTATTTGTACTTTTAGACCTTCTACACAAACTCCCCCCAGTGTCACCATCAAGGAATGGTGAACATGTCAGGTAAACTCAGAAAAGCCTTTGGACACACACAGGTTCAGAAAAACTTAAGATAAAGAAGATTAACTTCCCCAGAAAGGAGAAATCCCTCAATAAGTAAAGACAATTAGTTACCCTGTCTAAAAAACCAGGAACATCTGATAATTTTGATCTCTATTTCTGGATTACAGCTAAAACTCCAAGCCCTCCATGTAAGGTTATTGATTCTGTAGGGGACCAGTTCCTCTGCCTCCATTGGAAGACCATGTTTATTCACTGTTAGGGTAGAAAGTGTGGTAAGGCCCTTAGAGAGGATGTGGTCATTATGTATGAGCACAGAAGACCTGGCTCTTTAACTTGATCAGCTGTGTCTCTTGGACTCCTCACTACTAAGTATAATTTCCAAATGAGACAGTAAGGGCAATTACCACATGTTGAATGAATATTAGAGCAGCACTGAGGAGCTCTGACTTCTGTCCTGCCACCAGCTAGTTCTCTCCACCTCTTTCTCATGTATGAAAAGTGTGTATTGGACAGCAGAGGTAGGGAGGAGAGGAGAGAGGTCAGAGCCAAGATCTTTTTCCAGTTCTTAAGTCCCAAAATTTCTTATAAATGGTTAATGTAAACAACAATGGACAATGAGACACACCTATTAAAATGACCAAAATCCAAAACACTGACAACTCCAGATGCTGGTGAGGATGTGGAACAATGGGAACTTTGTTTTTTTTGTTTTTTGAGACAAGGTCTTACTCTGTCCCCTAAGCTAGAGGGCAGTGGTGCAATCTCGGCTCACTGCAACCTCTGCCTTCAGGGTTCAAGTGATTCTCATGCCTCAGCCGCCTGAGTGATAAAGTGAGTAAGCTAGGGTTGATTTTTTTTTAAATAAGCTTAGTGTGGACAAGATGTATGGTATTTAAAACATCTACAGTACTGTACAGTAATGTCCTAGGCCTTCACATTCACCCACCACTCACTGACTTCCAGTCCCGCAAGCTCCTTTCATGGTAAGTGCCCTATAGAGGTACACCATTTTAAAAATCTTTTGTACCATATTTTTACTATACCTTTTCTATGTTTAGATATAGTTAGATACACAAACAAGTTAGCTGCTAATTCAACCAATATTTACTGGCATCATAGCAGTATAAACCATGGAAGTATAAGCCATGTTAAATATACTTAGTCTTGAAGGAGCCTCTGATGACAGTACCACGTGGTCATTGCTGTAATGACATTCTGAGCAAGGGCCACAGTTAAGGGTGCCTATGACGACTGAAGACTGTTGGCTTTAGATAGACTTGAGTCAAAGTCTTCAAAGAGTGGGGAGGAGAAAACCTCTAACACCCCAGCGCCTCTAATTTAATCCATTTTTATGTGGGTAATTCTGAGGCTGGCTTTGGTGAGAAGATTACCATCATAAGGCTGCTGTTTGAATATGATAATTCAAGTAAAGCACTTTGGTACACTGCAGGACACATAGTAAGTGATTAATTGGCAGCAATTATTAATAAATTACTGTCTGTTCTCCCCAAGCTGCTAGGCTTCCCTAATTAAAATTCTGATAGCTTTAAAGCTTTTCAAGTTCCAGTGCTTAATTACCATTCCATAAAGTGGTAACTTGTCCTAATCACCAGCAGCCTCTAATACAGTATTAGAAGCTTCCACTTATTTAGTTAAGACTCAAGCAAGTACAGCCATTTCTGGATACTCTATCCGGACTCTGCCACTTGACCAAACTTCATTAAATTCCAATCGAAATACCCATCCCCTCTGAGGAGAAGGACAGGACATTTAATGCCTGCAGCTATAAACTGAGAAGTGTTATGTTCATAGCTATGCATGGAATTGGGTAAATTAGCTACAAGCCTGAAATAAGGAAGTATGCAACTGCATTTTTTTCTTTCCAGCACAGAAGATAAGAAAACAGTTGCAGGGCAGGGACAAATACCTTCTCATACCCCAGTATCCGGCACATAGGCACTCAGTTATTTTTTGGAGAAGAAAATCTACCATAACGCCACTTTCTCAACTAATACATTTTTCACCTAACATGCTTTTCTGAATATTAAAAAAACCACGATAAGATATTTGGACTGTATACTTCTGGCCTTTATTTTCCTGTGTGCCCAAGAATATTTTTCCAAAAATGGGACCATGATGGCATGTTCTTGTGGAAATTTTTCCTGTATTACTGAATAATCTAATTATTTTTAAAATGAAGTTTCAAATATTTTAAAAATAAATCATCCAGGTGGCAAAGTTTTAAAACTCAATCATTACAGAAACAAACAAAGTATACTCTTCCATGATGATAACACCATTAAATTACTTGGGAATCCTTCCAGAGAAAAATAAATGCACTTACCTCAATGTATATATGCTTTATTTACACCAATGGGTCATATTCTATACACTGTTCTACATCTAGGGTTTTTTAATCAAGATATAATTTACATACTGGAACATTTACATTTTTAAGTGCATAATTCAGTGCCCCTTAGTGTATTTACAAGGTTGTGTGACTGTCACCACTAATTCTGGGATTTTCTATCACCTCAAAAAGAAACCTGTTAGCAGTCAGTCCTCATTCCTCCCTCCCGCATGCCCGAGCAGTCACTGATCCACTTTCTGTCTTCATGGATTTGGCTCTCCTAGGCACTTCATATGCAAGGAACCATACAGTATTGTGGTGCTTTGTGACCAGCTTTTTTTGGTTGTTTTTATTTTATTTTATTATACTTTAAGTTGGGTTACACAGGCAGAACGTGCAGGTTTGTTACATAGGTATACATGAGCCATGGTGGTTTGCTGTACCCATCAACCCATCATCTACATTAGGTATTTCTTCTTTTTTTTTTTTTTTTTTCCAACGGGCATAAACACACTTGGTATTAAATCACAACTGACTGAGTAAGCAAGGGCTCAGCTGTGGAGGTGGAACTGCACAGCATTCTAGAAAGTGCTCACTGCCTAGGTTTGAGTCCCAGCTTCTCTACGTACTAGTTATGTGTCCTGGGAATGCAGACTACTGACACTTTGTGCCCTCTTTTCCTCATTTGCGAAAGGGGATGATAATAGCACGTCATATATTTGTTGTGAGGCTTAGAGGAGAATATACTTGTGAAGCACCTAGAATAGGGTGGGGCATGAGCTAAGTGCTCGGGAAACGGTACATCACATCACTGTTACTGTGGCTTCTAGAAGGAACTGTCCTACAGGCTACAGGCTACAGTCCAGGCCTGCGTCCAGCATCCCCCGTGTTTCACAGAGGAAGTGGGGTGCATTGGTTGGGTAAGGTGTATCTTCTGTAGTATTATATGCTCATTTTCCATATGCAAAAATGAAGGTCTGGAGACCGTCAGTGACTCCAAAGCTACTTGACCATGAAGTCAGTTTCTAGAACTGCCAGGTCCCTGGCACTCATGAGATTTGGGTCCAGAACAACAAAAGGAATTCGCCATTCATTTTCCTTTTTTCTTTTACCTACGGAGTCCAAAAATCCCAAACAGAGCCTCTCAGGGCTGAGCCAGCAAAACCCTTGGCCAGGCTCCTCAGGAGTCCACTGGATGCATTGTTTCACATCCCTGCAGGGTTGAGCAACTGGGAAGAGGCTTGGTCCCCAGGACCCCCTAGTGTGTGTGTGGTGGTCAGGTGCTGCAGAGATGAGGGCTGCGGCCACAGGGGGAGGTCACAGGATGGTGCAGATGCCTGACTCCGTGGGTCTCCTCTGGTGGCTCCTGCTGAGGCTTTCTGTAAGCCACGTGGATGACCTCTCCTCTTTTTTCTCCTGGTGGCCCTCTTCAAACTCTTCATCTTCCCATCCACTGGAAGATCTGTGTTGGGCACCTGCTGCACTGCTTCCTGTCTTTGCTGAGGTCACCTCCACTTGGTTGGCCCCACCTGGAGCCTGGGGTCTTCCCGGAGCTGAGATCAGGGTGTGAGTCTGGACCAGCCCCACCAGGGCCAAGTGCGTCTTCACGGCGTCTGCCAGCTTGGCCACCAGCCGTTCTCGCACAGAATCTGGCTCCTGACCCTGGGCCAGTGCTTCCTTATAGTACTTCACGGCCTGGTCGCATTGTCCCAGCCTGGCTGCAGCAGCCCCCAGACCCTCACAGGCCTGCCACTGTCCCTTCATGTCCCCGGAGTCGCAGGCAGCCTGCAGGGCATGCAGGTAGTTGTCTCTGGCGGCCTTGTGGTCCCCCAGCTGGCTCAATGCAAATGCCAGGCTGCCAAAGCTCCGGCCCTGCTCCCACCGCTGCCCCACAGAGCTGTGCAGGTCAGCAGCCTTCTGGTGAAATTCCTGAGCTTCCTGATAGTTGCCAAGGGCGTTGTGGGCCATCCCAAGGCTTCTTAGCACTGTGGTCTGCTCATCAGCCTAGATGTCTCTACTTGCACAGGACAGATTCTAAACAGAATTAGGGGTCCAAAGGCAGATACAGAACTCTCCCCACTTACTTTCTTACCCTTGTGTGTGTGTCTCCCCACAGGGTTACGAGTATATTACCGGTGTTGGAAGTTTGAGGATTGCACTTTCAGACAACTTTCAAACCAATTGTCGGAAAATGAGTTAAAGTATCACTGCTGCAGGGAGAACCTGTGTAACTTTAACGGAATACTTGAAAATGGTGGGACAACCTTATCAAAGAAAACAGTTCTTCTGCTGGTGACCCCTTTTCTGGCAGCAGCCTGGAGCCTTCATCCCTAAGTCAACACCAGGAGAGCTTCTCCTCAACTTCCATTCCTGTGTAGTCCCTTTCCCTTGCCACCACAGTCTAAAGGCTTGATATTTTCCAACTAGATCCTGTTGGGAAAGAATAAAATTAGATGGAGCAACTTGAGTAAGATAAAAGGGCTCTGGGAGATTTTGAAGACCAGTCCTATTTGCAGGGAAGCCCCACTTGAAGGAAGAAGTTTAAGAGTGAAGTCGGTGTGACTTGAACTAGATTACATGCTGCTTCCTTTGCTCTTGGGAGGACCAGCTTTACAGTGACAGCTTGAGTCGATTCTTTGCAACCCTCAGATATTTTCCCTTTGGCTCCTTGGGTATAGTCAATTAGCATCATTAGTACATTTTTGGAGGGTGGAGCAGGAGTGTGTGAGCATTCTTTCTCATATGGAACACTTCGATAAACTTCAGGGCTCCCGTATTGCCATGGAGGCATGCCAAATGTTCCATATGTGGGTGTCAGTCAGGGGCAACAAGATCCTTCATGCAGGGCTAGAGGACTTCTGGCAGGGAAGTGGGTAAGTGTTCCAGATGGAAGGGCATGAAAACTTAGTGAGGTACCAGTAGCTGAAAGTTTAGTTTTTCCCCATCTTTTAATTTTATATGGGCTTTGTTACCTTTCACTGGAAAACTGTAATACCATACATTAATAGTGTGTTAAAGCTATTTTCTCTCCTTTTTTTTAATTGGAATGGTGGGATATCTTGGCTTTGCCACACACAGTTACAGAGTGGACACTCTGTGCTACATGTAACTAGCAGTATTAAGTGTCCTTATTTTAAATGTTACTGGTAAGGCCGTTCAGGTATGTGTGTATACAGTATAAATACAATGGGAACAGCCTTTGGGGTTGCAGTTTGAGACTTCCAAAGGCCATTCTTAATAACAACAGATCTGCAGGGGTGTGTTTTATTCGTCTGCATCCAGCCTCTTGTTAACTCCTAGCTGACTTAGCATAGATTGTATAAAATACTTTTGTAAGGGCTATTAGCACAGTCACAGATGTTTGAGGCTTTCAGAAGCTCTTTCTAAAAAAGGATACAGACCTTTCATAAAGGCAAACTTTTTCCTTTTCCCTGCACATTCTAGTGAATAGATCTCAAGATTCAGTAGCCCTAATATTTGTATTATGATCTTGGCTGTATTTAATGGCATAGCCTGACTTTTGCAGATGCAGGAATTTCTTGATTAGCTTTTGGAAAAAAAAGAACCTTTGATTACACTCTGTTGGACAAATCAAGTACAATGCTTGATGCCTTTCAGAAAGTGAAATATAACAAGTGGATGAATGTGTTATGGCCCAGAAAGATAAGAGCATATGCAATATGCTTAATGGTGGCAACTGAAAGACGATATCCTGAGCAGGGCCAGCTTTCTTCTGTTGATGCCATTGCCTGAACATAGAAAAAGAGAGACTTGCTCATCAAAACTTAGCATTCCCGTGGTGCTCTGCGTTCTCTGTTAGCTCAGTGTCTTTCCTTACATCATCTTTAATTCTCTGTTTCAAGACAAAATGCTACGTGTGACTCTTTCCTCAGTAGGATTTTTCTTTCTTTGGCTTGAGGAAGTACTGACCGTGCCCACAGCCACTGGCTGGGCAAAGAAGCTCATTTTATGTGAGTTCTAAGAAATGAGAACCAATTTTGACTAAGCAGAAAATGAATATTTTGAAACTTTGTTAGGGGTGAGGGGGTGGGAAATTCAGCCACACTCCAAAAAGCCAGGAGTTGGGCAGTTCTGGAAATCTCTCTCAGGATTCAGATTCTAGGATGAGATTGGCTTACTGCTATCTTGTGTCATGTACCCACCTTTTGACCAGACTCCACTGGGAAGAAGGTAGTCCTCTAACACAGAATCTGGGTGCTACTAAATGGGGAGATAAGGAGAGGGCTGCTGAGCTGTCAGAATCAGCAAGGGAAATATAATGGCTTTAAACTGTGGGGTTGCTTTCTGCAGAAAGTTGCTGACTCGTGCCCTATGTGGGTAACCCCCCATATAGGCACCGAGGAATGAGAGCTAAGCAGAACCCTGACACAGGGCTTGAGGAATATCTCACTTTATAGTGTTAACACTCAGCTATTTCCTTTTATATAATCCTTTCTATAATAATATATTAGTTGATAGAAATAGGGCTTGATGAATCCCTTTATATAAACCTCTCTATATAATCATATAATAGTTGATAGTATGAGTGCCTAAAGAATATTTCCCTACATATATACCTATAATTATATCTTAGTTCATATAGGAGGAATAGTGGACACAGTACAGAGCATGAATTAAGGAATAAGCAGCTTATAATCAGAGGAATGCCTAAGAGCAGACACAGTACAGAGCATGATTTAAGGGAAAAACAGTTATGCCGGGACAAGAATCCATGGCCCAGGCGGCAGCGTTCAGTATCGTAAAGATACCCGCTGTATGGCAGGCTTGGGGCGAGAGCCACTCCTCCTGATAAAGGAGTTGTAGGACCTTGCTCCAGTTCTTGTGGAAGGCTGCCCTCAGAACGGCAATCCACCTTGGTGACTGTGAAATTTATCAGCTCTTGCTACTGTGTTGCTTGAAAAGCATCTTCCCATAGAACCCATTGGAAGCTGCCAGAAGGTGGCAGTAACTCTGAGAGCTCTGTCACTGCTATGTGACTTAAAGCATCCTCCTATAAATCTTAGAAGTAGTTTCACCATAGATAGAAGTATTGCACACTGCGCACGGCCCACCTTCAAACCTCAGTGACCTAATGGGGGCGGACCCCTTACTGTGCACAGCCCTTGCCTTCGTGGGAACGGGCCCCTTGCTGTGCACTGTCCACCTCCTGGCCTAGGTGACCTAATGGGGGTGGACCCCATGTTTTATTGCTCACGACCCTATCACTATCCTTAAAGATGATTTCACTCACTGCGCTGCCCCCTAACCTATACACAATAAATACTCATGCTTCTGGACATTCGGGGCCTCGCCTGACTCTGCTTATAGGTGGCGTAGCCCCCCGAGCCCAGCTGCATTTTTCTTGTATTTCTGTGTCCTGTCTCTTTATTTCTGAGATCCTGTGCCTCAGCACAGCATAAGGCTCACCCCACGACCCTGTGGGGCCATCAGCCTTACATCTGGCTCCCAACGTGCCCTACACGATAGACTACGTTGAGTGCCTGGACCCAAAGGCAATACTATAAAGATGTTTCCAGTGGAGAGCACAAAGTATTGACTCTCTGCTGGAGATCACAATGCATTTATCCCACTGACTTTGACTTGATTGAAAACTAGTCAGAAGTCTCTTTTCAAATTACTTATAGGCTATTCAATATAAGATTTATATAATGGATAATCTTATTTATCTAAACTAAAGCTTCCTGTTTATACACACTCCTATTATTTTGGGGTAAGCTAAAATAAAGGGTCCTCCAGAGGGACAGAACTAATAGGATATATGTATATATGAAAGGGAGGTTAATAGAATTGGTTCCCACAATTATAAGGTGAAGTTCCACAATAGGCCGTCTGCTGGGATAGAGAGAAGCCAGTAGTGGCTCAGTCCGAGTCCAAAAACCTCACAACTGGGCAAGCTGACAGTGCAGCCTTCGGTCTGTGGCCAAATGCCCGAGAGCCCCTGGCAAGCCACTGGTACAAGTCCCAGAGTCCAAAGGCTGAAGAACCTGGAGTGTGCTGTCCAAGGGGAGGGAGAGTGGAAGGAAGCATCCAGCACAGGGAAAAAGAAGGAAGCCAGAAGATTCAGCAAGCAAGGTAGACAGTGTCTACCACCACAGTGGCCATACTGAAGAGGCCACCGATTCCTTCCTGCTACCTGGATCCTTGAAGTTGCCCTGTTCTCTGCAACCCCTAAACAGAGTTCATGAGCTGTCTCGTAGCCCTCCAAAATAACTCAGTGTCAGCTTCTGTTGCTTGTGGACAGAAAATTCTGACAGACCTACCCTATAAGTGTTACTGTCAGGATAACATGAGAACATGCAATGGTGCACTGTGGTCATTAAGTGTCAGCTACAGTTATTTTGCACAAGGTAGCATGGGTAGTTGATGCTGACTGCTGGGGCTTAAACTCAGCTCCCTCGTCTCCAAGGCCTCTGTTCTCCCTATTCCACTAAACTACTTCTCAAGTTTCAGCTTATTTTTTTTAAGTTTTACTCTGCAAGTAGGTAGGAACACATTTACCCAGGAAAACAAGAATAAGGACTGGTCTGCAGTTTTCAGAAACTTTCTTAAAAGGGAGATGGGAATGCCTACACCCCCAAGGCCAGACCAACACAATGGTTAATTGAGATGAGTAATAAAGGAAAGACTGTTCTGGGCTTCCCAGAATAGCGTGGTCCTTACACTGTGGCACAAACAACTTTCAGAGCCAGCCTCCTCCCAAAGGTATAAGAGACTAGAGGTCATGTGTGCGGCCTTGCCCTGAGGTCTGGGGTGACAATTTGGAGGCTGTCCAAATACCCTGGCCTCTAGAGCTGGCCTGTTCATATGGAATGCCAGCTCTGATGCCAATCAGCCACCCTCAGGCGAGTTACTTAACATTACATGCCTCAATTTTCTCATCTGGAAAATGAGAACCATAGGCTTGGGGTTTTAGAAAAGTTAAATCAGTTAAGACAAGTGCCTAGGACAGAGGGCCTCTCTTGTGTATTTATTATCATTATGTCTTAGCAGGTTGAATAAGAAACTTCTCAGGCGTGAGGCTGGCAAAATGATCTGGAGTGGTTGGGTTTTCTAGGATGGACTCCCTGCTGCATTTTTCTCATTCATCCACCATGGTTTAGTGGGGAATTAAGGAATCCATGTGTAACTGTATAAAAACTAACGTGAGCACCACACTTCAGTGAGCATCTACTATTTGTCCCTGGCACTGCTTATACATATTTTCATCAAATACATCAACCCTATGAAGTAGATACTGTCTTCATTTTATAGATCAGAGAAAATTGAGGTTCAGAGAGCTGATGTGATTTTTCTCAGGGTCACAGAGAGTCCCAGATTCAAGCACAACTCTTGTATTCCAAGACACAAGCACTACATGTCCCAAAAGGCTGCCCAGAGCCACCAGGCATGGCAAATTGTGACATATCCCTACAGAGGCTGAGCACCTGGTGAGGGTCTGATTGCTGACAATGTGTCCAGATTCAGAGCTGGAGTGAGTGAGGGAAGCGGGGCTCCTTGGAACAGAGAAGGCTTTCTGTGCTCTCTCTGAAGGGAGCAGTCTGAGGACCAACGAAACCAGGTAAACAGCACCCCAGGTACTCCAGGTCTTCCTGGCTGGAGAGGGCTGTGGCAATGGAAAATGAGAAGTGCCAGCTGCAGTGAGTCAACCGAGGTTAAATAGTGCAAGTGAGAGTGCTGGACAGGAACCTCTACCCTCACATCACATTTCCTCAATGTGACCCCCTTCTGGGCCCTCTCCTCCTGACAGCAGAACAATGACTGCCCTGATTGGTGAGGCTAGAGGAAGAATCAGTCCTGTCCTTGGCAAGCTCTTCACTATGACAGTAAAGGTCTCTCCCCACAGCCAAGGCCTGTGACTTTCTAACCTGGCCTCACACTGGGTAAGCTTAAGTTAGAGGTGCAGGATTGGCAAGCCCACCTGGCTACCAGGCCAACAGCTACATCCTCCAGCTAACCCTGATCAATGAAGAGGGACTCATGTGTCTTCTTCAGTTCCAAATGAAGCCAGGGAGCAGGGGCATGAGGAATCGAATCGCTCAAGCTCCAACGGGATGGTACTTAGTGGGGAATTTGAGTGGAGAGATAGGTGACATAGTGCTTTGGAGCCCAGGGAGGGAAAGGTTCTGTTGAAGTTGAATTCAAGACTGTTCTGTCTTTCATCACCAACTTGAGTTTCCTGGACATTTGTTTGCAGAAACAACCGTAGGGTTTTGCCTTAAACCTCGTGGGTTTATTATTACCTCATAGGGACTTCGCCTCCTGACTGCAGTTTAGCTCAGTGTTCATTGTGGCACTTGAGTTTTCTTGTGTAGTTGTTAGAGAAAACAAGTTTGTCATCAATTTCTTATTTAACCCACTGGCTACAACTACATGGATTATGTTATAATTAAACCATCCAGAGTAAAATCTGCTTAGATTATGTTGGAGTAAGGGGGGAAAATCTGTAATTACTTTTCTCCTCAACTAGATATATACACACAAAAACCATGATTTTATTGCTTCATTTAAAAAAATAATGCAAAATCTCTTTCCTTTCTAAGGGCCTTCTTGTATTAATAAGAGCTAATGTTGAGTACAAGCCATTGTCTAGTACTTACTCTGTCTCACATAGTCTTGCCAGTCTAAGCAAGTAGATGCCATTACTGTTCCCATTATATTGATGAAAAAATGAGGTTGAGAAAGGTTCAGCAACACAGCCAAATACGTTGTGGATCCAGGGTTTGGTCCCAAGTCTGAGTCCAAAACTCTGGTTTTTACCATCACTATGGTTCTAAAGGGGTGAAAAAATTTTTCCTCTAATCTCTTAGGTTCAGAGTCTGGGACCTGAGAATCAAACTGACAAAAACAGATTAACAGAAATCAAAGTTTATTACGCATTGTTGGAAATAGATGCTTGGTGCCACAAAGAAAAATCAGCACTGAGACAAAGGATCTTTTAGCAATGCAATTTTTGCTTCCTGGACTGCAGGAAGGGTACTCTCACTAGCCGTGTTGGCACAGGAGTACAATGAACAAAGGAAAACACACAGATTTATCCCTTATGCATTTGGGGTCGTCCTTACTGCTGTGTTTGATCCTCGTTGGCTGGAGCCAGACCTCACAATCTAAAACATGATTGGCTAACAACTTAAAACTTTTCTAAGCAGTTAAAAGCAATGAAGAGCTGGGACATGCCTGTGAGCACTTCCAGCACAGGTATCTTGGTTAAAGTACAAGAACATAGAATATACTATGTGCCTGTAAACATGGCATGTTTAACAGCTACATAGGGCACGGCTTAACAAGTTATTAGCACACTTACTCTTTAACAAGAAAGGAAACTCTTTAGAGGAACTTTTTTACTTCCCGCATGCATGTACATGGAGTTCTTACAGAATCAAAGTGAAAACCCAAAGAAGTAGCTCAAGAGCTTATATACAATTTTAACAAAGGGCGATGAATTGTAGAAAAGTGACAAGACAAAGGAAAAGAGGTTTGAGCTTCTGAGGCAGTAAATTATAGGAAGTTAAATATATGGGGAAACTAATGGGAGATAAGGGTGCTTTTTGTTTGTTTCACTTTGTTTTTGAGCGAGTCCTGCCTTGCCACCCAGGCTGGAGTGCAGTGCTATGATTGTGGCTCACTACAGCCTCAACCTCCTTGGTTCAAGAAATCCTCCCACTTCAGCTCCTGAGTGGCTCTAGGCACATGCCACCACACCTTTTTAAAAATATTTTTTGTAGAGACAGTCTTGTTTTTGTTTTTTTTTTTTGAGACAGAGTTTTGCTCTTGTTACCCAGGTTGGAGTGCAATGGCGCGATCTCAGCTCACTGCAACCTCCGCCTCCTGGGTTCAGGCAATTCTCTTGCCTCAGCCTCCTGAGTAGCTGGGATTACAGGCACGCACCACCGTGCCCAGCTAATTTTTTGCAATTTTAGTAGAGACGGGGTTTCACCATGTTGACCAGGATGGTCTCGATCTCCTGACCTCGTAATCCACCCGCCTCGGCCTCCCAAAGTGCTGGGATTACAGGCGTGAGCCACCGCGCCCGTCCCTTGTTTTTTTTTTTTTAAGATGGGGTTTCATCATGATGGCCAGGCCGGTCTTGAACTCCTGACCTCAGGTGATCCACCCACCTTGGCCTTCCAAAGTGCTAGGATTACAGGCGTGAGCCACTGCGCCCGGCCAAGACAGAGTCTTGTTATATTGCCCCTGGCTGGTCTCAAACTCTTGGCCTCAAGAGATCCTCCTGCCTCGGGCTCCCAAAGGGCTGGAATTACAGGCTGGGTGCTGAGCTATCGCACATAGCCTGTATTAGACATACACTGATGAGAAATACAATTTCTCGAGATCACTGGTATGAATAAACAATGATGGGTGGCTGCCAAAGAGTGCAAATACTGTGTGTGTGTGACAACGAAGTGTGGGAAGCTAAGAGTGGGAAGAAAAAGCGTCCCAGTTTTGAGACGGAGGATCCTTATCAGTGAGCGGAGATCAAGCCATTGCCCTCAAGCCTAGGCAACAAAAGCGAAACCCCATCTTTAAATAAATAAATAAATGCTCCCCAGTTTCAGACACGCCCCTGGGTAGGGACAGCTACCTCTTGTGTTTGGACAGTTTCCAAGTACAAGTGCTTCACACACTGTTCTGTCTTCTGTCTGATCACAACCCTATGAGGCAGCCTGGTTTTCTTATTTCTGTTTTATAGAAAACCTACTTAGAAGTCAAGCAACTTGTCCAAGGCTACCAGCTTGAATATCCGACTCTCTCCACTTTGCTGCTATACAGACACACACAAACACACACACAGTATTTGCACTATGTGTGCAAATGCATGTGCATATGTATATTTAACTTGTGAGGCTGACGTTGACTCTTTAATTGGCCTCCACTCATCACTGTTTATTCATACCAGTGATCATGAGGCAGAGGTTCTCAAGAAAATGTGTTAGTTATTTCCCCTCATATGGCTAATACAGTTTACTCACTTAAATGAGCTGGCATGTCCTTTGGACAAAATGCCCAAATCGCTCATAATTAATGGGTGAGGTATTTGAGGTAGGGTGGACAGGCTTTTCTTTTGGTAGTTCGTTGCCTGTTAGCTCCTGATGATGTCTATGTTTGGAAGAGAACTAAACTGCATTTCATTGAAAACACTCCTTCAGATCTGTTACAAACCAGATGAGGATCTCCTTTTCTAAACCTTCCTCAACACTGCTAAAGTCTGGCCATTCCCAATCAATCCTCTTCCTCTTCGTCTGCCTCCCACAATCGAGGATGGAATATCAGACTCATTTTCTCAGACTTCTTTGCTATGGGGCCGGCCAATGAGGCAATGAGGTAAGTCTGCTGGTGCAGGGGGCAGGTTTCTAGGAAATATATTTTCTCCCTGATAAAACGAGAGGAAGCCTGAAGCAAGCTTTCTCCCGCAGCCCTGGCCCGCTCCCTGTTCTGGATGAGGGTCTGTTGGGATGTGGTAACGTGAGCCAGGGGAGCCGCAGAGCCAGGGAGGCGGTGGGCGGAGTGGAGGGACAGGAGGCGGAAGCGAGCCCGGGGGCGTGGCCTTCTCACTGCGGGGCGCGGCCCGCTGCCGGTGGGCGAGGCCACGTTCCGGGGCGTGCTGGCCCAGGCTTTGGAACCCCGCCTGTTCGGGGGCGGGGCTGAGTCGAAAGGGTGGGGCCGCGCTCCGTCGGGGCGGGGCTTGTGGAACCTCGAAACCCCGGTGACTCGGGGCCTAAGCGCGCGTCTCCCGGCGCGGGGTTCCTCCCACGCAGACTCCCATTCAAACGATGCCGAAGGGGCGGCGCGGCAGCCGCAGCCACGGCCCCACCATGAGCCAGCAGTCGGCTCCGCCCCTCTATTTCCCCTCCCTCTACGACCGCGGCATCTCCTCGTCCCCGCTCAGCGACTTCAACATCTGGAAGAAGCTCTTCGTGCCCCTGAAGACGGGCGGGGCGCCGGTGGGCGGGGCCGCGGGGGCCAGGTCCCTGCCCCAGGCGCCCCCTGTTCCGGCGCCCCCGCCACCACCCGGCCTGGTTCCCCTCAGCGAGCGCCCCGGGCCCCCGCCCTGGCCCTCTGGCCTGGCAGCCATCCCCTACGAGCCTCTGCGCTTCTTCTACTCGCCGCCGCCGGGGCCCGAGGTGGCTGTCTCACCTCTGGCCGCCCACTCCTCGACCCCCAGGCTCGCTTCTGCCTCCCACCCCGAGGAGCTGTGCGAGCTGGAGATCCGGATTAAGGAGCTGGAGCTGCTCACCATCACTGGGGACGGCTTCGACTCCCAGCGCTGTGCGTGACCTCGCCGGGGCCACCGAGCCCAGCCTCATTAGCCTGCCCTGGCTCCCTCCTCCGCCCCAAGCCCCGCCCCAACATGTAGCCCCGGTTTGAATCCAGTCCCCAATGGTCCCAGATCCAAAATCTATCCTCTAGCACCTAGACTCCCTTATCCTGGACTTCAACCGACTCCTCTCCCCACCACAGATCTGAACTTCATAGCCCGTTAGTCCCAAACTCTATCCTCCCTCCATCCTAAACCCTTTGGGTAATCTGGACTCTGAGCCTCCACACCTGGAACTCCATTCCCCACCACCTCGTCCTAAACTTTAATCCTCCTGCATAGTCATCCCCCTACCCTGTACTCTGGAACTCCACCCACCACAGACAGATCCCCAAGCTTTAATGTTCGGTCTTAAACAGGGGCTCTCCATGAGGGGAAAGGGAAGTAGGAAACTGTCAGTGGGAGTATCTATCTGTAGGGGGAGGTGGGGATTGTGCAAGGCCCAAGGCCGTTCGCTGGGCAGCTTTGGGACACTTTACCTTCTCAGTGCTGGAGGGCAGCCCCCCTGGGACGCTGTGGCCCTGGTGCCGCCTGGAGTTCTCTCACCAGGATTCTGGGCTGACGATTGGCCCTGGACCTGGGCAGACCAGGTGTGCTGATGCAGGCAGGATTCCTTAGCCTGCGAGCTGAATGACTCCTCCCTGTTGGAGGATAAAGTTGTTAAATGCATTGTACTTCAAGAAGGAGCCATTGCGGCCGTTGGGCGGATCAGCTGAGGTCAGGAGTTTGAGACGGCGGATCAGCTGAGGTCAGGAGTTTGAGACTAGCCTGACCAACATGGAGAAACCCCGTTTCTACTAAAAATACAAAAAATTAGCTGGGCGTGGTGGTGCATGCCTGTAATCCCAGCTACTCGGGAGGCTGAGGTAGGAGAATCCACTTGAACCCAGGTTGCAGTGAGCCGAGATGGTGCCATTGCACTCCATCCTGGGCAACAAGAGCAAAACTCCATCTCAAAAAAGAAAAAAAAAAGGACTTATTGCAAAATACAACTTTCAGTAGTAGTAGGTTGTCCTGCAGACTTTGTCTCTCCCATTACTTGTTCTGGCTAAAACTCATTCCAATTATTGTAAATCATTCCAACTATTGTATACAATGGGTTAAATTGGCTTCCCCTGCCACATAGGGAAGGGAAGTTTGAAATAACTTAAATGCTTAGGTCCATGTGGCTGTGGGAATGATCTTCAATTCATCAGACACACTGTCATGCACCCTTTCTTATAGCCATGGAAGGAAAACAATCCCTAGAAAATCTGAGCTTTGCTAAGTCCTGGATTTCTTGACTATGAATACATACATAATATGAATACATATTCATATTAAGAAATCCAGGGCCCAGGCATGGTGGCTCACGCCTGTAATCCCAGCACTTTGGAAGGCCAATGCAGGTGGATCATTTGAGGTCAGGATTTTGAGACCAGCCTGACCAAGCTGGTAAAACCAAGTCTCTACTAAAATACAAAAATTAGCCTGACATGGTGGCATGTGCCTATAATGTCATCTAGCCAGGAGGATGAGGCAGGAGAATTGCTTGAACCCAGGAGGTGGAGGTTGCAGTGAGCCAAGATTGTGACATTACACTCCAGTCTGGGCAAAAGAGCAAGACTCCCTCTCAAAAAAAAAAAAAAAAAAAAAAAAAAGAAATCCCGGACTTAGGTGCAGCTCTGATGACAAAAACCAGGACTTAGCAATTCTGACTCTAAAAACACATGTAACTGGATGTTTTTACAGTCAGAACCACTTACATGTTTTTACAGTCAGTTTTCTGTTTGTGTGTTTTTTCTCTCCCATCTTGGATCACAAATGGGTTTTAGGTCCATCAAGGAAGCACAGTTGCTTCCCAGGAGTTTGCTTTGGAAGTGTTAGGAAAAGCCCTTAGCTCTATTATGGCTAAGTTTGTTTTGCTCTCCCGCAGATAAATTCCTGAAGGCGCTAAAAGATGAAAAGTTACAAGGACTGAAGCCCAGGCAACCTGGAAAGAAGTCGGCTTCTCTCTCCTGAGCAGCTGCGAACCCAAGCTTGGGCAGCCACCTCCTTAGGTGTTAGTGCTTAGATAATGTGTCCCATTTGTTGTCATTTCAAAGATGGTTATTTTCTGTTCTGTATTTACTGCTGTTCTTGTTGCTATCAGCATGTATTTCACATACAGCACCTAATTTCCATGGTAAATCTCATGGTCTCTCTCCTTTTTATGCGCTGCTGAGGGGGCTCTCGCATGGGGTCTAGAAGCTGCTGCACAGCCAGCATTCACGATCTCCTGAGACCAGGGGAGGGAACCGCCAACACTGCCATAGTCATGCAAACCACAACGACAGCTGTGTCAGGAAGGAATCGGGAGAAGCCAAGGGGAATATATATATTTGGTTCTACTGCTGTGTTTCTGCTCAGAAAGATTCTTTGATGACTGGAATAACGGGGGTTTGGTGTATGGGAGTGTGTGGTTTTTTTCTCCAAACATATTTACTCCTTGGAAGTGTTTGGTGTTTTGATTTTTTTTCTTTAAAAAAAAATGTTTTTTGGACTATAAACTCTCTGAAAATCTTATCAAAGCCCTGGTCCTTCCTAGAAATTCATATATTCCAGAAATATTTATTGAATGCTTATTTTGTGCCTAGGCACTTGGGATTGGGGATGGGGGAGAGACAGACAATAAGTATTATAAATAAGTAAATCATAATGTGGTATTATAGAAGATGACATGGTGGGGGGCAGGGAAGCAGAATAAGGATTGCCAGGAGGGTCAGAGGAAGGCAGGGCAGAATTTTACGTGGGATTTCTTGTAGAGGTATTATTTAAACAAGGTCTGAAGGAGGTTGAGGGTCAGAGCCATGTGGCATTCTAGGGAATGTTCCAGGCAGAAGGGCCAGTGCAAAACCTGCTCCAAAGACGGAAGCATGGCAGCATTTTCGACAGCCAGCAAACAGTCCAGATGGCTAGAGCAGGAGGAGTGAGTGGGGAGTGGTCGGGGTGAATACAGAGGGGGCCCATTTGTATATAGCCTTATAGCCAAGGTAGGGACTCTGGGCTTTACTCCAAGTGGGACAGAGTCATTTAGACAGCTTCCAGGGAATTATAGGATCTGACTTGTGCTGCTGTGTTATGAATAGACAAAGGGGTGCAAGCAAGGAAGCAGGGAGAGCAGCCAGCAGGCTGTAGTAATTAATATTCCAGCTAAAAAGACCCTGCTGAACCCGGCATGATGGTGCGCACCTATAGTCTCAGCTACTCAGGAGGCTGAGGTGGGAAGGATCCCTTGAGCCCAGGTGTTAAAAGTTACAGTGAGCTATGATCATGCCACTGTTGCACCGGAGTGAGCAGAAAATCAACACCAAGACAAAAGTATGCCAAATTGCAGGGTCTTTATTGCCGGCGGCCACGGAGGACTCATGTCTCTCCAACCCGTGGCCCCAAGCTCAGGGGGAGCAAGGTATTTAAGCTGTAAAATCACATCCTTGTTCAGGGGGCCCAGGGGTGTGCAAGGCAAGCTGTACAGAAGCTAAAGTTAGCGGTTTATTGCAAGGGGAGGGGGGTAGCAGTGGAAATTTTTACCCTTAACACCTCTGAGAACTGCAGTACAATAACTGTTCCGAGAATTACACCTCTGCCCAGGGCCCAGATGGCTTCTCTATAAGATGGCAGTGCTTAGGCTTCTGTTTCTGCCCCTATCTCACCACTGGCATGCCAGCCTGGGCAACAGAGCAAGACCCTGTCTAAAAATTAACCAAGTAAAAGATCACACTGGTAGCAGCGGATGTGGTGAGAAGTAGTGGGCAACTGAAGCACAGAGTTGTAACCTAAGCTGGGGGAACACAGGTGGACGAGGTTTTTGGGAGAAGGAGGAATCCGAGCTAGGGGAACACAGGTGGAAGAGGTTTTGGGGAGAAGGAGGAATCTAAGCTGGGGGAACACAGGTGGAAGAGGTTTTGGGGAGAAGGAATCAAAGTGAGGGGAATACAGGTGGAACAGGTTTTGGGGAGGGGAGGAGCACAGGTGGAACAGCTTTTGGGGAGACAATCAGCAGTTTTGTTTGGGATATGTGAAGTTTTTGGTGTCTGGTAGACCTCCTGGTGGGAAGCTGTGTAGCTGGGGCCCATATCTAAGCCTGGAGTTCAGGGGAAAGCCTGGGCTGGAGGTGTAAGTTGAGGAGTTGCTGACATGTAGGTGTGTTTAAAGGATGAAGTCAAATGAAATCACCGAGGGAGTGAGGGTAGAAAGAGAACCAATTATTGAGCGTGCAGGCACTCTTCACTTAAGAGGATCGAGGGAACAGGAGGAACCTGCACAGGAAAATGAAAAGGAGTGGAGTCAGGTGTCTTGGCAGCCAAATGAGGAAGAAAGGAAGTGGTCACCTCTGACAGCCAGTGCTGACAAGCCAAGTAAGGTAAGCCTAAGAATTTACCTTTGGATTTTGCAACATGTTAGTATGGACCTTGCCAGAGCGGTTTTGGTTGAGTGATGGGGCTGACAGCAGACTGGTGTGGTTTTAAGAGAGAATGAAACGTGATGATTTGGAGACAATGGGGTGTAGATCACTCTTTAGAGGAATTTAGCCGCAGAAAACCACAGAGAACTAGAACAGTAGCTGATAGGGCAAGTGGGGATAAGAGCCGGTTTTTATTAAGATGGTAGAAATAACCATAGCCTGAGAGGAATGAGCCAGTAGCGAGAGAAACTGATGATGTGGAAGAGATCTGGGAAATTGCTGGAACGGTGTTCTTGACCGGTCAGGAGAAATGGTGTGTTAGTCTGTTTTTTGCTGCCATAACAGAAAACTACAGACTGGAGAATCTATAAAGGACAGAAATTCATTCTCACAGTTCGGGAGGCAAGTAAGGTGGAGATGAAGGCACCGGCAGTTTGGATTGTAGTGTCTCTGCTTCTAAGATGATGCCTTGAATGCTGTGTCTTAGTTTTCTCTTCTCATGGCAGAAGAGCAGGAGAGAAGAGGGAACCCACTCCAGCAAGCATTTTCAATAGCAGCATTAATTCATTCACGAGGGCTCTGCCCAGATTTGAAACGCCACTTCCTAAGTGTCCCCTCCATTACACTGAGGATTAAGTTTCCAACACATGAATTTTGGAGGGGACAAAACATTCAAACTATAGCGGGGGATCTAGTTAACAGTAGAGAGATTGACTTTTGAGGTGCGCAGAAACAGTTCATTTGTAGTAATGGGAGCTACATCTGTGGTATGGAGGTGCAGATGCCGGTAGATGGGTAAATGGAGAGGTGGGAACCCTAGAAGTCGGGTATACATGCACAAAAGTTTGTTCAGCCACCTCTGCCTTGAGGACACAAAGGCACATGCCCACAAGACCAGGCTGGAAACCCTGGAACTGCACACAGGAAGCCAGGTGGAAGAAGCTGGCAAACCACAGAGCTTGGGCCCCACTACAGGGGCAGCAGACATCCAGCTCCAGCTGGTTGTTGCCAAGGCAGGAGTGTGGGCACAGGGCCAGGTAAAAGCTGCTGGTTTCTACATCTTAGCAATGAATTCAAATGTTTCCAAAACACTATGCAGGCCAAGTAAAATAAAGATGGAAAGTCCCCCAGACATGGTAACCTCTGCCCTATACATAGAAACCCTCCTCCTCCAGGCAGAGATCCAGGCCTTTCTGGAATCCAGATATTCCAGGTCTCTTCTCCCCAGGAAGGAGCCAGATTTGAGCCCTAGGCTGGTTGCTACTGGAAAAGCTTCTTTGTTCTCCAAGAAAACTTCAGCCTGGCAAGGCCAGAGGGCAGGGTGGGGGTGGAGAATTTTTTGTTTTTTGTTTTTTGTTTTTTTTTTGGAGACAGAGTTTCACTCTTGTTGCCCAGGCTCGAGTGCAATGGCTGGATCTTGGCTCACCGCAACCTTCGCCTCCTGAGTTCAAGCGATTCTCCTGCCTCAGCTTTCCCAAGTAGCTGGGATTACAGGCATGCACCACCACACCTGGCTGATTTTGTATTTTTAGTAGAGATGGGGCTTCTCCATGTTGGTCAGGCTGGTCTCGAACTCCTGACCTCAGGTGATCTGCCCGCCTCAGCCTCCCAAAGTTCTGTAATTATAGGCATTAGCCACTTCGTGAATAAATGAGAACAAACCAGGCATCAGGAAAACCCAGTGCAGAGCTCAGATGGAGAAAGAAATGTCTGGCGTGGCCTTGTTTGTTTCCCTAGAGTCCCAGTAGCCCTCCCCAGGCCATGCTCTGAAAGTGCCCACCTGCTAAGTGCAAACCATGTATGGGCAGTAAGGGAGTCAAGAGTTGAATAATTTCTCACTGCCACCTGGTGAAATAGGTACTGTTCTTGGCATGTTTTATAAACGAGCAAGCAGAGGCTCAGAGAGGGAAAGTGGCATAGCCACAGGCACATAACTAGGACATGGCAGGGCCAGGTTTAGGACTGAAGTCTGTCAAGGCTACCCCAAGCTCTCCCTCAATGAGGTGCAGATACAGGAGGAGCTGGAGGCGAGTTGTAAAAAAGAAGCATCTGGCATTTCTTCCAGGTGCTCTCAGCCCCTCGCAGCCCTCAGGTGTCCTTTTGATGCCATTGGAATGCTGGGAGGTGGGGCAGGCCATCAGGGAAGATGATTCAACACTTGCTTGGCCCTTACCCCTCGATGCTCACACACAGCTGCAAGGGCACCTGTAGTAGGTACAGTCTCCTGTCCTGAATCCCCTGTGCCAGCTGAGACCCAGTCCTCCTGAGATGGCTGCACCAGGCTGTCACCACTAGACACCATTCACACCAACCAACCACTTTCTCATTTCCTGCAGACCCCAGCCAGAGAAGACACATAGGTTCGTATCTCAAGCACCAACTCCCATCTGCACTTGGGAGCTCTTGTGGAGAACTGGAGGCCTTAAGTGAGCTCTGTGGGAACCAGTATTGGCATGGGGGCCCATGTATCATGCCTGTGGCACAAATCCTTTTAATCCAGGTTTAGCTTCTGGGTCTACAGTTACAGAGAGAAAAATCTGGAAAAGAACAAAGAAGAGTTCACAATACAGTAAGGGAAACAGAATCAAAACAGTTTCACTTAGGGTGAATAAGTTCTGGAGCTCTCTGCAGCATAATGACTGCTAATTAATAATTATTTTTTATTTATAATGATAATTATTTTAAAAAGCAATGTAATAAAAGTCATCAACACTTACTGGCAGTTTGTAGGTATCACAGATTGTAT